TAAAAAAAAAAAAAAAAAAAAAAAAAAAAGAACAAATCACAACAGACTAACATCTCCCTTAACAGACAGCGTCCGCGGAGATTTACAAAGATGCCAAACTAGTCAACTCCTCTCCCTAAGTTTTTTGTCCTGAAAACAGTTACTTTTCATTTTCCTAAAAATGTGTTCTTTCTACTAACGATGGGTTTGTCATATCACCAACATAAACAAACCTCCTTGAGACCCTCAATAATTTTTAAGAGCACAAAAGCGGGTTCTGGGGGCAAGAAGTTTGAGAACAGGGAGTTCAATGTCCAGCCACCCACTCGTCTGGAGCCCAGCGCCCCATGAAGGCGGGACTGGCCTGGTCCATCCCTTGACCCCAGTGCCCAGCACGGTCTGGCCTGTGCAGACAGAGGGTCGGCGGCACAGGTCGCCGTGGAGTCCGAGGAGCTCGCAGACTAGGCAGACGGAGCAGCGGCGATGCCCCCCTGACGCCCCACCCACCGGGTACCTGGGAGACAAAGTCCTTCTCTAGCTCCTCCTCCGGCTTCTCTGGGCCCCGCGCGGCCCCCTCATGATCCTCCCGGACACCGTAGTTCCGAGAAAGGATCTCCGCCAGGTGGAACTGATGGTCCGCGGACCCCATGGACACCACTGTAGGGAGACATAGGCCCGTGTAAGCTCCTTGCCACCGTCCCAACCACTGAGCTTCTGCAGACGACCACAGGGCGGAGGAAGCCTCGGGGGCCCAGCTGCCACCACAGGGGTGTATGCACGCGCGTGTGTCCACGCGGGCCAGGGTCGGCATGCAGCAGCCCAACCGATGCTCAGCCCCTCTCTGGCCTCGGCCCAGCAGCTGGGGGACGTGACCAGATCTGGGGTTTTCCCCAAAGAACCAGGATGTGTTCACTGCTCTCTCTCCATGACTGGTCTTCAATGAGTTGATTTTTAGAAGAAACAAAACAAAAAAGGAAATAGCTAGGTCTCACTCAACCCCAGCCAGGGAGCAGTGAGGGCCCAAGTTGGACCTGCACGTGGGTCCTGAGTGCAGCGGGCGGG